AACTGTGCCTCTTAATCTGGGGCTTTCTACCTCATATGGCTCCTGGTCCTTGTACCATGTAAAAAAAAAAACAATCATTGCCTCCATATTTCATAAATTTTTCTCCTGAAAAAACTGTCTTCTGGCCAAAATTAAATGATTTGTTTGAACTTCAAATTTCTAAAGAATTTTTATTTTTTTTCTTCTTCAGGACATCTACTTTGTATTTATAGAATTTGTCTATTTGGTCATATTAAGTTGTTTGCACATTTCCCAGTAAATCAACATTCCTAAATTTTTTTACCCTTTTCTCAGCTAAATACACTCACTAATATGAGAGACTTATTTCTTTCCATAACAGATTTTATTTAATGTCTTGTCTCTATTGGTTTTCATCAAATTACTTCTAACATTTCTTTTAAGCTGCTATACTAATGAATCCTTAACCTTTTTCAAGTGTCCTTTATACAACTGTCCACATAATATATTACTTGCAATTCCTTTTGTTTGTATCTTGAATTCTACATGCAGTAGTTTTCTTATATTGGTTAATAATGTTAGCATTGTTTGGCCAAACATTTGCTTTTTTTGTTCATATTATTGCTTTTGGGGCATTTATTATTCTTTCCTTTCTACTCATCTTTTGAACATAGTTTTCAAGCATAATTCTTCTTCATTTTTTTTATACTGACACTATCTGTGTAATCTCTGGGGTGGAATATTTTATACTTGGTCATTCATTTTCTTGGTCTCTTATTCATAGATTTTATTTTTTCTTAACTCATTATTATAAGTGTTTGTAAAAACTGTATCAATTTTCTTGGCTCTTAACTAGTTTTACTTTTATTTTTCTAATATACAAACTATCTTTTCACTGTTTACTTTTTATAGTGTTTATAAATATACATATTTTGTTTATTTAGTTGTTTGTAGTTAGAAGAGTAAAGTTTAAATTCATCGAGGTCTCTCAACTCTATTCTCATCAGGAAAAGATATTTCTGCCATATTGTCTGTCTGTATGTCTGTCCGATACAGTGAGACGATTCTGAGAGACCTAGAAGTTCTACCAGGATTCATTATTGGCAGCCACAATTTTAACAACATAAGGTATGCAGATGACACAGTGCTGATAGCAAACACAGAAAGAAAGTGACAAAAACTCTTACAGAAGGTAGTGAAGGAAAGTGGGTAGAAAGGATTAATCAACTGCAAGAAAACAGAATGCATGGTTGTTAACAAAGGGATGAATCCAAAGTGTGAATTGCAAATTGGAGATAGCAAAATCAAACAAGTGTAGAAATTTAGATATCTGGGAATTGTTTTAACAGAAGACAGAAAGAGTGAAACTGAAATCCAAAGGTATATTGGGATAGCTAGGGAATTCCAAAAGCCAAGCAATGTACTAAGAAATAGGAAAATTTCACTAGAAACAAGGAAAAAAGTACTAAACTGCTATGTGATATCTGTCCTCCTGTATAGATGAAGAGGAGACTTGAAGCAACAGAAATGTGGTTCTACAGAAGAATACTGAGGATACCTTGGACCAAACATGTGAACAACAATAAAGTCTTGGAGAAAATAGAAACAAAATGGAAACTAATACTTAACATCAAGAAGAGACAGTTTAAGTTTCTGGGGCATATATACTTTATATATTTCAACCTAAAGCTGTTAATGAATACTGAATATTTCTTGCATAGAAATGGCTGACTTCATAATTACTATACATTGTAAAACTTGTTTAATGTACTGAGAAATTATTTTGTAACACATTTATTCTGACATAACTACATTTCTGTTGCTTTGAGTCTCTTCTTCATCTTTGTGGAGATTGTCCAATATTCATTGCCATACAAGAGGATAGATAATCATATGACAGTTCAGTACTCCTTTCTTTGTTTCCAACAAAACTTTCTTGTCTTGTAATAATACTCTGCTTAGCTTTTGGAATCCCAGTATCCCAGTGTCACATTCTCTGTTAAAACATTTCCCAGATATTTAAATTTCTGTACCTGCTTGATTTTAGTGTCTCCAACCTGTAAATTGCATTACTGTAAATGAAAGATTCAGTAATATTTATACAAACAGTTCCAAAACTATACTGGTTCTATCAAAGTATATTACTTCTAAAATTAAATTAGCTGTAAGTGTCATAAATTATTAAAAGTGAATCCTTTACAATATAGTGTAAACTTCAATTCAATCAATGAATGACAAAATAAATTTTGAAAGTGTAAAATATTAGATTTATCTTAGACTATAACATATCAATACAAGTATTATCCTGATGTCCTTAGATTTTATAAGAGCTTTATGGGAAATATTCATTAAAGAAGTATAGAATTTTATATTTCAAAAATGTCAAGCAAGAATAAAGTTTATATAAACATCACAATTATATATTTTACAGAACATTATGTTTTTTATACTTAATAAAATCGTAACTTCAGAGTAAGTTTTCTCGTGTTTCAATAAAATCAAAGTAGTAAATATAAAAGAAGGAAGATGTTGATGAATTTTGATGAAAATGAAAATAAATGAACTAATTACATTCACACACACTGAAAACTCAACTTGTGAGTAATTGAATATTAATAATAAGCAATAATCCTATATTGATTACCTGTAAACAGGTTTTTCAGCATAAATTATCTTTTTGGACAAGGTTTTCATATATTATTCATTTATTTATAATCTGATTATCCCCACCCGCAACACTACCAAAAGAATTTACTGAGTAACTGTAGAACAACTATTGATCTTAAATGTATTGGCAATTCCTCAAGATCAATGACTGAATGGCCCTTAGTATCTTAAATGTTTTAAGACAATAATCCAACAATGTATTACATGTAAAAACCTGTTTCTGTGGGATTAAATTTGTTCGAAGTGTTTTGTGATGCATATTAACTTTTATTGGAGGTTTTGTAATTTTTACTTGACAATATTACTTGGTAAAAATTTCAGAATGAAAACATGAAAATATGTAGACTGATTGGTGTCCATTAAATTTACTGATTATCTTCTAATCAAATTATAATAATTGTTCTTTTATAGATCAATGAAATTCCTGTAGTAGGACTTCAAACTGAGATTTGAATCAAAGCAGTACTAATTCTTAATGCTACAGAAATTTCTTATCAATGCATTTGAATGAATATTCAATGGTCACATTTTTATTAAAAAATATAACTAATGAATATTAATATAACCAATGAATATTCATGCAAAAAAGAAGCTTCTAAATCAATTTTCATTTGGTTCATTTCCCTAGCAAAAATATTTGACTAAAAAATGTATGAATTTGATTCATTTGATTTTCAACTAATACAGTCACATATGTTTATATGTACAATTTTAATCATTTCACCCGCAAGCATCTTGTTTATTAATCAAAATTTTAACCTAAAAAATGTATTCAACATCATAAGATTATTTTTTCAAACAAAAAACAAAAAACAGTTCAATATTACTAATAATATCCAAATATAATGCTTTTAAAATAAAAATTTTCTTGGTAATTATCTATTTACTTATGGTAATATGTTAGTAACATATTTTGCTTTCAGAAATTTAAAAATTAATATTATACAAAATAAATAAACAAGTAAAAAATTGTAATATCCCTTAAATTTTGCTTGTGGTCAGGTGAATGTGCAAGAGGAATTCTAAAAAAAAAAAAATGATAAACTGGAATGAATAGGATCAGAAGCAAAATTTAACATCTTAGTAAATTTCTTTATGCAATTATTACAAATTTCTAAATATGCTTTGTCTATAAAACATTGATTATTTTAAAATTTGGGAAAAAGCAAAATAGAATGAAAAAATCAATTAACAATTCAGAGTTAAAAATTAAAATTAACCTTACCCCATGTTATCTTTAGTTTTTCTGATGATCATTTCGGACTGTGAATTCCAATATTGGTTGTATTGTGTTATCTGCAAATTACGATGTAAGAAGTTGTCCATATACATCCCACCCATGTCTATAAGTGTTCATTACTTGCACATCACACTGATTATAAGTATCTTATATAGTTTGGGTTAGTTTCAAGATCTTTTCTTCCCTTCTAGAAACACACTTCTCACGTGATTATACACAATGTAGCTATTACATATTAAATATTTAATAAAGCCTTATTAATATTTCTCATCATTTTAGCTATTTCATATCTGTCAGGTTTAAAAGATTTTTCTCAAACTGAAATTTAACTCTTAAATATATACATGTATACATTAATGTGTGCATGATTTTGAATAGAAGAATCCATAAAAATACATTCATTTATATAAGAAAAAGAAGAAATAAGAAAGTTTTCTATGAAAGCGGTTATCTGTAAAAAAAAATAACTGCAAAAAATCTGCTATTTTAGGCATGGAAGTAAAACAGCAATGTTGTATTTGAAAGAAGCATCACTTGAATATTTCAATTTTATAAATAAAAATAAATGTAATTATAAGAATGTCTTGTTAAATACAATTGAAATAAATCCATAGAAAATTAACTGATGTATATAAGATGTCCAAGAAAGATATTCAAAATAAGTAAACTTTACTGTTGTATAAAAATGAAGAGTCTTACCTTGAATTATTTTAGTTTTTATGACTAATTATATTATACACATGTCAGTATAAACATTCATATGTATGCTTTTGTGTTTGTATAGAGTTTGTTTAGTATCACAACAGTTTATATGCAAAGTAGCTGCTGCTGTTTGTCTCATAAGACATTTGTGTGTATGTGTATACATATGTGTGTGTGTGTGTATATATATATATATATATATATATATATATAGAGAGAGATATGTAAAGGTGTGCACGAAATACAGTCGTAATATTGATGCTTACAGAGATATAGTGAAAGGTGTAGAAAATGAATGACTTGAAGGTAGAATGGAAAAGACAAACACATCTGAATGCATACAAGAAAGACATTAGTTTCAGTAGAATGCCTTTAATTAACCAGGTCTAAAATATCTCATATAAGGTAAGTATCATTATTGATTATGTAGTTTCTAAATAATGAATATCTTTTCCAAAGCAGCACCTTGATGATTGATTAACACGCAAAAGACTGTATGAACAATAGGGTAGGTGTTAATGTATACATCAGAGAGAGTGAGAGTGAGAGAGACAGAAACAGAAAGAGAGACAGAGAAAGAGGGAAAGAGACAGACAGCCACAAACAGAAAGAGAGAGAGAGAGATAGTGAGAGTGAGAGAGACAGACAGCCAAAAACAGGAAGAGTTACAGAGAGAGAGACAGACAGATAGAAACAGAAAGACAGAGTGACAGAGAGATACAGACAGACAGACAGACAGACTGAGAGACAGAGACAGAAGCAGAAAGATGGACAGAGACTGAGGCAGAAAAGCAGTTATAAAAACAGGTAAATCATAATATCTAATGACTGTTATCCTGAGAAACAAATGTCTAGTATAGATGTTGTTGAGTATAAATTAATCCAGCATTTACCTCCTGTATACAAAGGCTAAAGGACAAGCAGAAAGCTTGGTATTTATTTTGAATAATATTGGCTTACCACAGGTTTATTGAAAACTAATAATATGCTATTTTCTCAAATATATAAAAAAAATTAAAAGAAAGATTTATTTTTATCTGATATAAGATTTATTTTTATCTAATATATCATTATCACTACAAGAGCCGGATTATGACATTTTGCGGCCACTAGGCTAATGAAATTATAATTTCATTAGCCTAGGGGTCCCAAAATGTCATAATCTACCCCCCACACACACACACACCATCAGACATAGCTATCTTTTAACTTGTCTGCACCCATCTTGAATATATTTCTTATATTTTTATTTTTTTATTTATATTAAGGTACAGGCTTATGTTAGGAAGCAATTTGTACAGATAAGAGTGGATGATAATGGTGGATGAACAGGTTAAGATTGTAGTGATCGGAAAACATCCTCTTGGGAGTCAATTCCACAGAGCAGTGGTTCACAAAAAGAAGCTGTTTGAGAGGAACTTACTTCTCACTGATGGAATATAGATGGAATGTTGATGATTTGCTACTATGTAAATGGCAGCGTGATATATTTTAGACATATTTACATAGGTTGAAGTAAACTTATTCCAAATTCTTTGAATAAACTAGAATGGCTATATTTTGTTTGTCTATAAAAATATTCTCTAAGAAATACAGTGTAACCCGGATATAAGAGAGTTGTCGGGACCAGAGAAGAAGTCTCTTATATCCTGGTTTCTCTTATATCCGGGTTTGGTCTAATTTATATACATTAACACAGGCTCTAATTTGGGACCAGAGAAAATCTCTGTTATATCCGGGTTTCTCTTATATCCGGGTTTCTCTTATATCCGGGTCTCTTATATCCGGGTTACACTGTACCACTATTTTTCTATTTGTTGCAAACCAAATTAGCACATATTTCAATACAACCATAGTAAAAAAAATAAAATGTAAACAGATTTTTTATATCCAGCATTATAACAATAAAACAATGAAAATAAATACTGATATCATTTCAGTTTATAAAACTATTTAGAAGTTAACATCTAGAAAATTAAAATCATTGCTTTATAAAAGCTTGAGGGGGGGGGGCTTACACTCAGTGACATGCAGAGGTTTGGTTATGTTTGGTGCCCCCCCCCTTTTTTATTTATGCCCCTAAGACTTAAGTAATGGGTGCCTATGGGGCCTATTACTGAGAAATGTGAGAAAGGAGGACATTTAAAACAAACGAAACACAAAATAACACTTTATTAAAATTAAATATAATTTAATTTTTTATTTCACTCTTTGACTGGATGCCCTCCTGACATGGTTGTCCAGGGCCACTGCACCCTTTGCACCCACTTCTGCACACTACTGCTTATGCTGTCCCCTATATTAGCTGAAAGGATAATCTAGACCTGATCACTACCATCAAAAGCATTAATATTTTTCCAAATCATTCTTGTTATAAAAAGCAATATTTTATTAGAAACATACAAGATATATTGGATAAGATGTGTTTGGTATATTGTTATTGATAATGGCAACAAATTAAATGAAATGTAGGAATATTTAGTTCAATAAAGTCGTTTTCCGGTTATTTTTTTAATAAATTTTTTTCACTAATTAAATCCATCCTCAATTGGTAAAGGTAATCTCAGTCACCAACTGAGAATTTTCTTTGTGTTTTATTGTTCAAGACAATAAAAGTAATTATCCCATTTTAATTGCATTCTATTTAGTAGCATTGAATAATATAACACATAATAAAGTGCTATTTTAATATTTTACATTATAGTTCTATTCATCAAATTTCAATACAGAAAAGTATAAAGTAGCATAAAAATCAAAGCAAAACAATGACATATTATTTGTTTTAATTTAAAGACAACAATAATTTCAAGTTTATCTTTTGCGTCTTCCATAGTTCATTACTCATACTTCAGATTAAAAATCATCTCCTTACACACATTTTGCTACAATGATGTGATAAGAAAATATTCTTTTCTGTTGAATGACTCAACATACTCAGTTTCATCTACCATACTGATTATTTTCTGTTTTTATTTCTCAGATGTTCATCCTTCTTATAAGAAAGGATTATTTTTATACTTTTTAAGTTGATGAAACTGAACAAATTTGGATGAAAATGTTAAACAGAATTATAAATATTTTATAATATTCATAGAAATTCCAGATTGAATATTTTCCAATAAATAAATAAAAGTAATTCATAGATTTTACTAACAATCACTTGACTACCAAATAATCCATTCATATTACTCTTCAATTAATGTTATTTTTGTTTTGCTGTTGATCTAAAAAAAAATAAATAAACAAAGCAAGAATATGATTACTTAAGAAAAAAAGCCATAATGATTATGAAAGGATTGCTGCTGGTCTACATGGCCACTATACAGTAATAGTCTGCAATTATTATGAAGGACTCCAAAATAGTAATAAATTAAAATCTCAAGACTAAATGTTATCTAGTTTGAGAAAACCTAATAGTTATAATAAGGTTTCAACCTTCTATCGCTAATAGAGATGTGAAGCAGATTTTATATGTACAATTGACATAATGGTTATCGTCATGGAAAATAGAATCAGCTAGCTGAGTTCTAATTTCATCTTATGCCCACAGGAAAGGCATGAATCCATCTCTTCTCCCTTGATCTATGACTAGTAAGGTAGACTGGATACTAACCTTAGTTAAGCAAATACGCTTAGTGAAGGACAACTCTAAATTCAAAACCATGGAGAAGACAATAGAAAAATCTTTCCACCATCTTTCTGAAGAATAGTAATGGTAATTAAGAGATTAAAGATAAAAATATATGAAGATGCTGTAGAAAGACATAATTACTTATGTTGTGAAGGGGACAGGTATTAAAAAAAAAGAGTCATATTCTTTTATAATACAAATATGTAAACATTTGGATACATGGATTTATATAGACATATAGCTGTAACAGAAAATACAACTCCTTTCAAGAAAGGGAACAAAAGAGTCCATTTTAAAGAGAGTTCTTAGACAACAAATCTCTACTTGTGATTTACTAAATGGAATAAAGAAACTCTTTCATTTATTCTGCTTCACTGTATGAGTGTAAACCACTACTGTTAAAGCAGTCTTATACGAATTCTTTAGAGAAATATTATAAGCTTTTATTGACCTCCATACACAGAATTCATTTCAATCAGCAGTTGTTACAGGTAAGTCTAATAATAATAAACAAATGGGTAAAAGCATTGATTTCTGGTTAACTAGAAGTTGTTAGTTCAATCACTCTTGTAGGTAGTACATGTATAGATATCTAAAAAGAGCATTGACTGGTTTTTACAGAAAAAAATTGTTTGCATCCATTCATGATTCTTGATAGGTTCCACTAGGCATCATTATTTTGCAGGAGTTCTGATGTTGAACCTCTTTTAGTCATGCAGTCTTTCACTGGGAACCCACTAGATATAAATTTCTTTAATATCAACCATTTCTCTCAGATGTGTTGTGTCCACTTTGCAGCAAGTATCTATAATCACTTTTGTTATCTCAAGATCTTCCTTCAAAGAGTTATGATCTTTATATCCTTTGATAATTAGAAAATCTTTCAGTACATAAAATTTCTTCATTATTGATGCAATCAAGTGGCTATAATTAGATACCAAGGGGGATTTTCTTTGATTTCCATGAATATTAGAATCACTTTCTCATTCTTAAACAAAAAGACTATGTTTGCACCATGAGATGCGCCATTTGGTAACAAGGTATGCAAAGTATCACCATAAACAACAATTTTCATTGACTTTGGGATATCAAGATTTGAAAATATAATCTTCAATGGCTTTGATTTCAATTTCTTTATAGTTCAGTTCTATAAGAATTTGAATAGTTGCTTCATTTTCATAATTGGTCACTCGACAACTTTCAAAAGCCACATCAGGTATTGTTTAGTTAGTTACTCATAAGCTGACCTCAGTTGTGTCTTTTCTTTTCACATATACCACACTTGTGATTTTATTATTTAACTTGTTAACTTGTCATTCTGTTGTTTCTTTGAGTGCTGTCAATTTGAATTTTTTTATATCCATATATACTTGTTGATCAACAATTATTACACTACCATTTTGTTCAATGTTAAGACCTATATACTTGAATGTTACCTTTTATTTCTTGCTGATTTTGAACAATCTGGAAATTTTGCCAACATTATCATGCCAGTAGAACATTCCATAATACTTAAAGTATGATTAAAAATCCAACTAAACAAATTACCATCTTCAGGTAACAAGAACAACCAATCATTTTACCACCCAATGCTTTCAGTTCCTAATGGTCACACCTTCCTTGTAGCATAGAAAAAAACATACAAAACAAACACCTTTTTAAATGACACAATTTCCCTTCTTGATGAAGTTGAGGTGGTAATTTCATATATACCACACTTGTGATTTCATTATTAACAAGAACAGTAAAGAGATGCCCATTTTCATAAAAAATCCTAATTGAGGCTGTTACCATTGCTAAACCAAGTGTTTATCTACTGCATGTCAGATTATTAATTCTCTTATCTGTAAGCATCTCTTCAAATCCACATACTACAAGACCTGTCTCTTACGCCCACCATGCAAATACTTTTATACTATACATATTTACATGGAATCATTTCCTGCTTTTCACCTACCCATTTGAATACATCATTGTTTTCAGTCAGCATTAACACCTATTCAACGTCACCCACTTTTTTCCAGAAAATTTAATTCCAGTTTTCTGAGATTGGTTAATCTGCACCAGTTATTTTCACATTGATCCAGTCTTTCCATTTACTTAATTTATTTGGTTGAGAAGATAATACTTGCACCTTACAAATATTC